AAGCCTCCCTCCGAGGAAGAGGCCCCGCGCCACCCCCTGGAGCGTCATGGGCCAGATCCTCTTCCTTGTTACTATTACTGTGCATAAAGCACCTTCCTTTCCTTTATTTATTTAGACTTTTAAATTTTTTTAATGATTTAATTTATTATTTATAATTTGTATTCATTTATACTTTTTATTTATTTATTTATTTATAAATGAGATTTATTTATTCATTTATTTCTCTTTCCCGGAGAAGAAGGAGAAACAGTCTTCTCCGCACAGAGCTTAGGAAAGTTACTTTTGCGGAATTACAACTACTGTACCCGAATTCTCTCATCCACTCAGCGCGGCCACCCGTCCTACTCAAAGCGATTTGTCCAGGCTCTGACGTGTCAGCAGGTGGCGCTATTGGACTGAACATCCCAACTCGCTGGGACTGAAGTGGCTCAATGGACAATAAGACTCTAATCCCATTCTCCATCGGGGATGTCAGGTGTTCCCTCACCATCTCTCCCCCCCCCTTAACAAGCCTCACTTGGTGAGGAGCACCACCACCCCATTCCTTCAGATTTCAGGATCTGAGCTTGAGATGGGAAGCAAGCAGGCTTTGGGGGTGTTGCCAGGGGGAATCCCCTGTGATGTCACAGAAACAGGGCAGACAAGAATGGGGAAGGGTCTTTTTCCCTCTCCTCTCTCCCTGTCAGGATCTGGACCGTATTGCCCTGGCAGCTGCAGGATCGGGGCCAGCCTGACCCAGGAATAGCCTGGTGTTTGCAGGCTCAGGCCCTGACCTGTGTAGCAGCTGCTCGGCTGCTCATGAGGCTCACCTGGAAACCTGGAGGGAAGGCCTATTTAAGGAGTGGAAACACTACAGGACAAGGATCCAGAGGGTGATAGCTAAGATAAAATATATGCATATGCTTGGTGACCATCTCAGCAGATTAAATATTAGTCAGGGGTTCTTAAGCCATTGCCAAATGTGAAATATGCCAATCATGTTGTTATCTGCCATATTTTTCCACCGGCCAAATTCCTCCTCAGCTAAGTACGGCCACCTTTACAGAACAAGCTTCAAAGGTAAATCGGGAATTTGTACTCATTACCATGTGTTATTTGTTGTTATCTATAGTTTGGGGTTCTTTGGGCGACTGACCATTTTTGCCATTTCCAGAAGGCCAAAGCTCTTAAAAGAAAAGAACTGGGTATCAAACAGGGGCCTGAAGTCACTACCAAGAATGAAAAGTCTTACACAATTTGCCGCTTCTCTATTGACCAAACACCGCTTCTTAAAGCAGGAGCCACAAATACATGTTTTGCCACGTAGCCTCTACCATCTCACTCGTACGTCTGAAGAAGTGGACTTGATCCACAGAAGCTCACGTTAAAAGAGAGCAGGTAGTCTTTAGGGTGCCACCCGGTTTTTGTCTTCTTTACTGTTTTGCTTTTGCTGCTCTCTTGTTTCTTGTCTGATCGTTCCTGGGGCTTTTACAGAGAAGAGCCTCTGCGTGCTTCTCAGAAAGCTGTTACTGCTTTTCTACACTCCCCCCCCCCTTTTCACAACCCAGCTCCTGGACGAATGTAGGTCAAGGAGCGGCACAATCCATTCTTTCAGGACTGGAGGTCCTTGGCCTAGTTTTGGCAGAGACAGAACGGTTCGGGTCTTAGATGAGCGTGGCCAGGATGTCAGAAATATAAAAACAAGTCTGTTCTCATCCTCCCTCCCTCCCTCTGTCTCTCTCAACTCCTTCCCACACTGGAAGGGAAAGAGTTTGGGTACTCCCAGCTCTGAACATTTCGCTCCAAGCCAAGGATAAAGGCAGCAGCACACAGGGCTGAAGCCTCGCCCGGCCCTCTGTGTTCTCTAGTGGGTGGCTCTGCAAGGCTTTTAAAAGAATGCAATATTATCCATTCCACTCCATGTTGCTTTGGGACACCCGGGCGGGCAGAAAACCAGGACTCTTATCCAATGATTCTGTGACCTGCTATTCGTAATATTGAAAAACAGACAGCAGTAACTTTCGGGCATGGTCGTTGCGTGCATTCGCCCACAGCACCGTGTAGTAGAGGCAGAGCTTCAAAATGCTCCATTTGTGGACGACACGTCCCAGAATCCTCCACGCTGAGGACATGCTGGTGGTTGGAGTTGAGGAACCGTCAGCCAAAGAAGGAACTTCTCTTCCCCCCCCCCACCCCTGCCAAGCTCTGCTGGTTTTCAAGGCCATTTGGGGGGATGGGGAGAGGAGTGTGTCCAGGGAGATCCAGTCACCCTTGGAATTCTGAGCATGCTTCTCTGGGCTGGCAGGGCAGTCAACAAGGTGGCCATGAACTACCCCATCTGTGTCCTTCAGCAGAGAAAGAGTTGTCCAGTCCTTCACCTGTGTCCAGCTGCTGGGAACATCTGTGTCCAAAGCATCCCCTTCAGTCTTGGAGAAGTGTCTGCCTTCTGCATTTTGTGTGTGTGTGCGTGTGCGTGCAAGCAAGCCCAGAGCGATGGTCTCCCACCTCAGATAACCCAGAGGTTCTTGAAGACCACAGAGACGGGTCCCACGGCCCTTTGCGCAATCCAAAAGGAGAAGAGGCGATGCCTTCCTTTAGGGCACTAAAACCCAGGCACTCGGCGCCAGCATTCGTGAATAAAAATCTCTTTCTTGGGGTTAGAGTCCAACAATTATGCATGAATTATGATGATCCACCAGGTACCTTGCTTAAGGTGAGTTGAGAGCTGGTTTCAACCAGTTCGGGAGGAGGGTGTTTTTAAATGCCTCTCTCTGGGAAATTAAAAACAAACAAACAAAGAATCCCAGAAGAAACTTGCATGTTTTGAAAATTAGTTTATAGGTCCTACTAAGAGGTATTTTGCATTAGTCCTAGAAATGAACATGGTGAATCTCCGGGATTATTATTATTATTATTAAGCTGAGCCACTGCCGGGAGGTGGCAGGCCCTTCCTCCATGATGAGGGAGGCAGAGATAAAGCCTCTTTCTTAGCCGCAGCCTAGCACCAGCTCCGGATTCAGCACCAGAAAGCACGAAGCCCAGGGGCCTCCTGAGATAAATACCATCTGCCAGGTCTCTCCTGATGGTGCTGAGCCAATGACTGTCATCAAGCTACCACACCAGGGGGAAAGAAGCTGACGGAGGGACTCCTCATTTAGAAAGACGTGGGGGGGAGGGCACAGATTAACATGCCTGTGTTTTTTTTCCAGGGGTGTGTGTGTCTGGAATCCTCACATTCACCTGGCCATTGACACCTGTCCTCAGGTGTGTTGCCTTGGCACCCACCGGGCTCATCAGCAAGCGAGGTGGTGGATACCTGGCGTGATTGGGTCCATGTCACTCCATCCAAGCCCAGCCTCCACCTCCAGCAGAGGCTCCGAGTGCGAGCCGTGAGCCCAGGGGTTTTTCCCCACGGACTGAAGGGGAACCAACAGCCATCAGGGGCTCTGGCAAGGGTGGGTGACTTTTCGGACAGCATCTTCCAGAATCCACCAGCCCAGGAAAGTCACTTTTCCATTCTTTGGTGGAAAAGTCAGCAAAAATCGTCAGAGCCTGTCTAAAGACAAACAAACCTAAAACGTGCAAGGTGGAAAGACCATTGGAGGGTCCCTAATTAATCTACGCAACTCCCTGCTACAAGATGTGGTGGTCAGTACCCAATGAGAGGGCAAGGGGTCTTCGGTTTTCAATATGTCCCTCTTCTTCTTTTTCAAAACGTATTCTTCTCAAAACCTTCTTGAGCAGGGCAGTTGGTTTCTTTTCTTTTCAATAAAGGGTTTTGCGGCGCAAACTTTCCAAAGCAGTCCGTCCTCCTTCCGCTCCCTCTCTTCTTAAACCTCTCTGTTTCTGCCCCTTCGCAATCTTTTGGCCGGTTAGCAATTCAGAGCGGCGGGTCTCCGCCCCGCGGAGTTTCCAAACTAGGACAGAGCAGCGGAGAGACAACAGCTGGGAAGGGACGGGGAATCCCCGAGCCCGTGTCCGCCTCTCTCTCTGGGGATTGCCCCGGCCGCCGCCTCGCCAGGAAAGAGAGGCTCAAGGCTGCGCACAAGCGCTGTTTTGCGCGGCGGCGGCGGCGGCGGCCCGGACTGGCCCACCTGGCACCCCCGTCGGCTGCGCGCGCTCCGCGGAAAGGCTGGCACAGCGA